TCTCTAAGTTTAACAATTTCCTTTTTTAAAGATAGGAGCATATATATAAATCCTATCTAACTTGGTTGACTTAATTAAAATGACCATCTTTTAAAACAATACATTTTTTTTTAACCATAATTCCTCACCTGCATAGCATTTTATTACGTGGCTGTTACCATAATATACTAAATTATGTCCTAATCATTGGACATTTTGGGTGTTTCACCTTTTAAAAGACACATAATTTTAACTAGCATGTCTTTGCTAGTGAATCTAGATAGAGTCATGTAGTTGTTTTTGCAGACTATTTTAATTAGGAAACTGGAGTATTTGTGATATTTATTTTATATTATTGCTTTTCCCCTTAAGGTGTCATTAGAACAGCTTTGCCAAACATGGACAGAGAAGTCAAAGAACAGTACCAAGTGCTCATCCAAGCCAAGGATATGGGAGGACAACTGGGAGGATTAGCCGGAACAACAATAGTCAACATCACCCTCACTGATGTCAATGACAATCCACCCAGATTCCCCAAAAGTATGTCATCTTTCCTGTTAAGTCTAAATTAGTGCAGCTTTTTTTATTCTTTACAATGTCATTCAATGCTAAAGGAATTGAAATAATTTTCCAAACTTTTGGTCTTTAGGAAGCAGAAGCTAATGGATTAAAAATTACATGTCTTCAGAATTTAAATTTTTGATGAGAATCATGTCCAGTGTTACTTTAATAGAAAATAATGAGTCAACAGTTGAACAATTGGTCTGATGGTACCGACTTTTAATGAAGTAAAATATTCACAATAGGTTGATATCTTACCCTAATAGCTTATTAACTGAAAAAGTAATATAAACACAGAAAATATGAATTTAAGACCTCATATTTATAACATATGCCATCAAATTACATATCATATAATTGGTATTAGAATTCTGTGCTTTTTCTTTAGCAATTGCATGCGTTGAAGCATTTTCAAATATTTTCGTCGAAGTATCAGATGATATTGATGCTATTTGCGTCACTTTGGTTCCAACCAGTTATTTTATTTTAGTTTTGTAATAGGTGAAAATTGCTATAGTTTCTATGATAATAGAATGAGTCACACCTGTATCTTCTCTGTAACTCTGTGTTTCTTATTGAAAATGAATTCTTCTCACTTGTGTTACATCTAGTTTTCTTTTGCAGTATTACATTTAACACCAATCAGTACCTATTTGCTTCCTGGTGCACTTTCAAGGATTATTTTAGTGTCCCTACAGCTTGTGATACAGAAACTGAATGTTTCTATCACGGGTTTTATAAGAATCTTAATTAAATCACTAGGTACTTATTTGCATGAATAGTTTTAAAAAGCAAAACAAAACAATTTTCTTCTTTCCACAGCAGAAAGGGAGCATGTGAGTTTACTCACTAAAATATAACACTGAGAATATTTAACTAAATGAATATCTGATTCCTTTGTTTAAATATTTTTCCATATTTTACTACTTTGTCAATTTTTTCTTACAGTCATCAACCTATATTTTCTTTCCAAATGTTTTTTACTTAGCAATCTGAAAGTTTAATGGCCCAATGTTTTAAGGGTGGTAATTATTAATAGAGACCATCAGACCTTAATGCTTATGTGACCTAGCCCAATTGAGCCATTCCACTAAGTATACACATTTCACATGTCATGTTGTACATGATAAAGATGTA